CTCCATCCCTGGAAGTGTTCGAGGCTAGGTTGGATGGGGCTTGGAGCAACCTGGGCTGGGGGCAGGGGTTGGAACTAGAGGAGCTTTGAAGGTTCTTCTAACCCAAACCATTCTATGGTTCTGTGGTTCTATGACCCACACCATGTCACCATGGAGTGAGCCTCTACATGAAAAAACATTGGCCTCGGACTGATAATATCCTACCAAGCAATAAAAAGCCTTAGTGTAATCAATTATATATGTGGCTAACAAAACTTTTTCCATCCTTTAAGCCTTTTAGGGTTTTATTTTACAATCTGCAGGTTATTTCATATACATTTTTATACACATATATGCATACACATCTGAGCATGTGTGTGATTTATTTTTGGAGAAAATCACATATCTGCTCACTTAAAAAATATAGGAGACAAGGGGCAACTTCATCAGAGCAGCAGGTCAGGTGTACAAGTTGAACACTGTTAAAATACCTGTCTTTCCCCTTCTCCTGTCTGCTGCCCAAGCTCCCTGCTGAGGGCAGAGCTGTGATATGAGTCCAGAGCAAAACCCTGAAATTTTAAGGTAAATTTGGAGACTTGAATGCACAAAAAACATATTTCCTGCTTTTAAGGCACGGAAACAGCACCCAGTGGGTAGTACTCTGCTCTGTGGTCTGGCATTGGTGGCAGCAGCCATGTGTTTTTCTTTAAAAATCTATTTAAACGGAGAATAAATTTATCTGAAGGACCAAAAATTACATCACATATTTTTGTTGAAGCCTATGTCAACGGCTGCAGTAGCTGGAGTGTCAACACCTCATCAATGGGTATGATATCAAAATCTTATGATAGTGGTTAGGAAAAACAGACAAGAAGAAATCATGATGCAATTGAATAAAAGCATTAAATTCTGCTCATCATTTGCACTTCATTTAAGATTTAAAAGTCTATACTAGCTGGGGATTTTTTTTGTTTGGTTTGCTTTGTTTTGCAAAAAGATAGGATCTCTAGTTCCTTCCTATACTAACTCAGTTAGCAATCTACCTTGATAACACTGGAATGGAAAAAAAAAACCCCAGTGAAAAACCCTTCCAACATATCACTCAAATCATATCTAAAAAGGTGGTCATAAATATTTTAGAACCCAAGCAAAGAGCAAGGCCCATTAAGGATAAGATCTTTTACAACAAATTAAATAAAACAATTTATTGAAGCCTGGACTTGAGATAAACTAGATTTACTAGCTGACCTTTTATTCATTTAAAGAACAAAATTAGCTCTAATTGCATTAGAATGGAATCCAGTAAATTTCTCCTAATGTGGCATCCATGCAAGTATTGCTGTAATTGTTTACAACTAAGATGGAAATGCTTTGATAATCATCTGCTTTCTTCTTGTTTTACTGTGCAGTTAAAACACTTGCAAAAAAAAACCCCTTAAGTAAAACAGTTTTTCCAATATTGGTTTATCCATCCTGCAGCAATAGTACATTTTCATGTCTATTAACCCCACATTATTAATTGCTGTCTCTTTTGAACTGATGTGTGTTGTAGGAATATTTGCAGTCCAGACAAGCTTGAATGAAGGTGTCACTTTGAATCTAGGAGAAACATGTTCTAGCATTCACAGAAACAAGAGAGGAGACTTCTCTGCTGCTCCCATCACTGCTCTGCATGATGGTGCAAGCAGAGAAATGAAATTACAAAATCACAGAATGGTTTGGGTTGGAAGGAACTTAAAGATTATCTAGTTCCTTCCATGGACAGGGACACCTCCCACCAGCCCAGGTTGCTCTAAGCCCCATCCAACCTGGTCTGGAACACTCCCAGGGATGGAGCAGCCACAGCTTTTCTGGACAACCTGTGCCAGTATCTCAGCACCCTCACAGGGAAGAATTTCTCCCTAATATCTAATCTAACCCTACCCTCCTGCAGCTTGAAGCCATTGCCACTTGTCCTGTCACTCCATGCTCCTGTTAAAAGTCTCTCTCCAGCAATCTTGTACTCCCTTTGGGCACTGGAAGGTGTTCTAAGGTCTCTCTGAAGTCTTTCCAGGCTGAACAGCCCCAACTGCTCACTACACTGCAAAGGCATTTTCCTCTCTTCTGCTGCATTATTTAGTAAACTTGTGTTGCTGCTGTGTTGTGTTTATGGTGTGATGTGAATCTCCATTCCATGCACCATCAATCTGACACTTTTTCTTCAGACACCTGAAAGCCTCTGTGGCCCTACCAGGATCTGCAAGTACTTCCATTAAATACAATCTATTATATGAAGTTCCCCCAGACAAAGCAATTTACAGCTGAACAGGTACCCAAGTACTTCCAAAAGCCTCCAAATGGCTCTTCTTTCTAACAGAGGAAATTGAAATAACTAATTTTTCCATCTAGTTTCTACTCACTGAATTCCATGCATCCCCCAAAACTTTCCTTATACCTTCCCATGGCAATTCATGGTGTCCTCAAACACTTCCATGCCAGCAAACTCCAGACAGGCTAACTGAAAGACAACATTTCTATATGATAATTACTAGATATTCAGCACTTCATTACCAACACAGACAAAACAGAAGTTTAAATTTCCCTTACCATAACACATCAAAAAGCTTTTCTTCCTGCCTGTTATGAGCTACTTAAAAGGTTGATGATCCTACTATGGTCTTTTCAACTAATAGCTTTAAAGAGAGGTCACAGAACTTCTGGTATTGCTTCAGAGGTCCAAGTCACACAGACACCTGTGTAATGCTCTGCCTCAGAGCCATACTAGTCCTTTTCATAATGATCACAATACATGAACATTAAAATATGCTCTGAGTTCAGGCTGAATATTAATTGTTGATGATGAAAGCAGAAGTATTCTTTAGAGCAGAAGAGCTTCACTGTGAGCCCTGCCACGTTAAGACACAGGATTGATGCACAACACAAACCAGTTCCCAGAGCCACGTGGCACAAACTGTATTTACTTGTGTAAGGGTAGATTCCTTCCTAGATTTTGCCTTGGAAAACTACAAAAAATTCTAAAAAATACTACAAGGCTCCGGAAGTTCTTGTCTGACATCAGCCAGAAGGTGCAACTGCCTGATACAGCCACTAGAATCATAGAATCATAAAATGGTTTGGGTTGATGGGACCTTAAAGATCATCTAGTTCCAAACCCCATTGCATGAGAACAACTTTTGTGGGTCGGTATGGTGGGCAATGAGGAGACATGGAAGATAGAAAGAGAAAACAGTAAGGAAGTAGTGATGGAACACTAATAAACCTTGCTTGGCGTTACACAGCCTAACACAATCCCAAGGATGAGTGTTGTGGAGAAGATCAAATTCCTCTCCTATGCTGAGAGATGCAGCACAACTACTTTTTAAGCATCTGCTACCAGCTGCCTCTTGTGCCCCTGAAGATCTCAGCTGTGGTGTTTAATACTCTTCTAATTTGTCTAGAAACTTGGAGGTCAGTCAGTTTTGTGTATCTCTCTTCCAGCCTGGAGTCAGGGTTTAAACTCTAAGCTCTGCCAGGCTAAAGACCATAACACCCTGAGGTCCTCAGATGGGGGCCAAGGTGCCACTAGAGATGCAAAAAGGAATCTGGAATAGAAGTGAGTTTCCCAAAAGGCCATGAAACAAGATGTCAGTATCTCTGACCCACCATGGGCTGGCCGAGCTGCTGCTGATGTACCCAAATGATTAGCAGCAAAAAGATGGAGTTTGAAAACCCTTCTCAAAATGTGTGTGGGTGTGAGAAGGACTGGGGTGAGATAAGATTGGAAGCAAAGTCAGCTCTTTGGTGCTGCCTTCAGAGCTTTAATTTATATAGGAGTTAATTTTCCCCATTTAAACACTGTACAGTCCTTGAAAAAGTGGAGTTTAAAAGAATCCATAGCGCCTCAAGGAGGATGATGGATCTGTGGGCTTTAAAGGGACAGTCTGTCCAGCTGTGCACATTCAAATCATGCACAGAAGGACAGACAACTGGTCTGAGAAAACTGGAGCTTTCACACAGCAACCTGAGGCACAGAAATTTTAAATCACACTCAAATATTGTGGAAGGAAGAAAGCAAAAGTGGTTGAAGAGCTGGAAAAAATCCTGATATTCAGGGTGTGGGTACCCCATAGAAAGTGTGCAATGACTGAAGGACCTTAGCAGCTTCAAAGCCACAGTTACCTACTGGGGAGGAGTAGGACAGCAGAGAAAAAGACAATAATCACCAAAGATGCCATTTAACTTCCAGTGCAGAAAAACTAGTGATTAGGAGATTTAGTTCATAATGGCTTTGTAAAAGAAACAGCTCCATTAGCAATACTCAGTGTGAAGAAAGGAAAGATCTGTTTGGTGCTCATGTTTACCCACCAGACATGAAAGTGTGCTCTGTACCACTGAATCAACATGAAAACCCTGATTAAAAGAAACCCTTCACATACAACACAGGAGCAGCCTAAAAAGTCTGATGACACATGGTTTCCCCAGCTTCTCCAGCCACCTGTTTATGCTGGATGATCTCAGGATAGAGATCATCCTATTTACACTCCTACGGTACAAAGTAACTATTATTTGTACAACAGCACCCAATAATTAGGGAGCTAATGAACCAACACTTGAAATGCGTTAGGTACACTCATGAATAATCATCAACAGTTACAATAAAACAGAAGCACATAAAGGAATTTCAACTGTATGTTTTAAAGCAGAAAACGACTGTTAGTTGCAGAGTGTTGTGAAACTTAGCTGTAGGTTACACTAGGGATAACCATCCATTACAGAAACCTCACTAAATGTCACTGGAGGCGTGAGTCTAGATGGAGTTTTGTAATCCATGCTCTAGAAAAGCATGGAGTGGGAAACAGTAGCATGGCTGGAAGATGATGGGTCTCAGTTGGAGACTGAATGGTCAAAAGATGTCATAGCTGCATAAATATAATTTTCGACCAGTTTTAAAGCATTTCCCACTGAAAAGAAGAGCTCCCACAGGTGACAGAGGATGAACTGTGGTAAGCATGCACCTCACAGATGGATTTCTTTGTACTTACATCTTGTCTTGGCCTGCACCCACTCTCAGTGTCAGCCGAGGAATAACCGGTGATGGAGCTGGAACAACTGGTTCCACCTTTATCTGCTCAAGGGAACACAATCATCAATCAAAGGCTGCAAGTAGACTCCCAAAATATATTAATTACATGAATGCACTGATGGAGTTAACCAAACAGAGCACATCAGTTAATGAGGCAAAACTTTGACAGACTGATCACTGCTCTCTCACGCTTTGTGCTGCGGCATTGATGGTCTGAGTTTGTTGGGAGCTCCCAGACAGAGCAAATCCCAAAGAGGAATTCTAAACTAAAAAAAATCAACTTGAAATTTTGCTCATACATTTTGCTAACAAGTCTTCCTGCTTTAGTACTTTTCCAGAGACACAAAAACCCCCAGTGTGTTTCTAAACAGTGACACGAAATGCTTTGACCTTAGTACTCAAACTTGATAGGTGTTTGCACATTTTTTCCTGAGATTTAAATTCAATTATTTCCCAGGTTTGCCACATAAATGTACTGTGACCCTCTCAAATCAAAAGGAGACACAGAGGAAGCAACTAAACCCCAAGCACCAACACTGAATACTTGATGAAAGTGCTTATCCACACAGGCATAACAACCACTGCATTTTAAGGCAATTAGGCTGAGGTTTTTAATGACTATTTTTCAAACAGCCTAAGTTTCCAACCTCAGTATCTGGTGGAGTTTAGGCCACTTGAATATGCCCTTGAACTCTTGGAATCAGAGTGCCAAAATTACTAACTCCTATTGAGCCTTGCACAACCTGTACAGAACGATCAGTTAGAGATGACACTGAAATGATTCTCCATGCATATGTTGCTCAACTTAAATCCATATATGACAAGTGTCTATACATTTTATATATATGTATGTATAAAAAGAGATGGAGACTGATCTCATTTTGAGCATGTGCATCATCATATTTAATAAAATAACCACTTAGTTGAATCTGGAGCAGGAACTTAAGACACAAAACTAGTATGCATACACTAAAAGGAAACCTGAGCACATGTCTGGTTTCATAAAGCTTTCATAAAGAAAGGGAGGGCAAACAATCAATTTGAGGCACAGAAAGCAGTGTGGGAGACAGCAGGCCAGAGTGGGAGGGCTCATCTGGGACTTACATTGAGAAAGGTAATGACAAAGTCCCGTGCCATGCACCTTGGCCGAGGAATTGGAGCTGCTCCCCAGGAGACACAAGGGCTGCAGCCTGAGCAGTATTCCTGCTTTGACAGAGTTAACTGTGCCTTTCAATACAGCTCTCCGTGGATGTGTATTAGCTGATCTCACAGGCCTCTCTCTCCTCTTTTGTTTGTGTAGCACAAATTTTGTGTTACGTCATTCCCCTGGAGTGCTGCAAGAGATTTTTTCCTCTGAAGCTTCTAATGCCTGCAACAATTCCATTGTCACCTTCCACAGGTGAGTCTCTTCTCTGCTTTCCCAGCATCTTAACCTGTAGCACCATCCACTGCATAGAGCCATGGAACTGAACTGGCTCCTGGAGGCTCAGGCACATAGAATCACAGAATCAACCAGGTTGGAAAAGACCTCCAAGATCATCAAGTCCAACCCTACCGTGGTCACTAGACCATGGCACTAAGTGCCACATCCAGTCTCAGCTTGAAAACCTCCAGGGATGGCGAATCCACCACATGGCTTTGCTTTGACTAGCTTACCTCTTTTCCTGCAGATTTCTCCTCCTCCTGTAGTGCCTGTTTTGAATACAAAACTTCCTAGGACAGGCACTGCTGCTTTAGCTTCCACCACACAGCATGGGGAGATACTCACAGAATCTATAAAGGTCCTTGGTACTATTATTTGTCTAAATAAAGTGGTGTGGGCTCATGTGGCAGAAGAAAAACACGTAAACCACTTTTTTATGCTCGGATATCAACGTTGCAGTCTGCTGGAAGAGGAAATCAGGGTTCCTCACAATCCTAATCTTAGGATTGAGAGGAGAAGAAGCACTTTCTACAGTGTAGGTTTGTGTGTAGGGTTTGCATGACAAGAGCAGAGAGAAAATGAAGGAGCATCCATAGTTACAACCTGCATAGCTTAGTTTTCTCATTGATGACAGGATTTTGATTCAGTGGCAAGGGCAGTTTACTTTGGGGCAGCTCTGGCAAGCCCTGCCCTGATGCAAGGATGTCTCCATTTCTCACCAAGCAGTTCCTCAACTACTTTAGTTTCCAGCTCACTGTATTAAGGTTAGCTGAAACTGGGTCAGCAGCTTCTCCGTGAGCTGCTCAGTCACTCCTGCAGCACGCCCAGTAATCTCTGTAGTAGAAGTGGGGTGTAACTGCTTCAACTGTTTGTTTTTAACTCAGTAGAACATGCAAGGCAGTGCCACTGTCTGGTTTTCTGGCTCAGAGGGCAGCACCCAGCACTACTGCAGAGCAGGGAGCTGCAGCAAGTCCTGTGTCAAAGTTTCTCCTCCTCGTTGCCACCACTGAACACTCCCAGCATGAAGCCTTCAACTTGTTTTCTGCCATTTATGCAGAGTTCTGTTTGCTGTTCTCTGCCTTTCAACACCTTGGGGCAAAATTCCAGGAAAAAACTTGCTGAAAAGCTTCAATTCCCTAACAGGATGAGATGATCACTCAGGTAACAGCGACATTCAAAATTGGGAATATTACAACTGAGTCACTGTCTTGTTTAAGCACAGCAATATTAGAAATGGGAATCTGATTGAAGTAGATTTATTAGAAGCATAGAAATAGATTTCCTACTGGACATCACGAGCTGAAACTGCAGTGAGCCCAAAACTGATGCTCCAGGTTGTGCTCATGCCTCCAAAGCAGACACACCACAGAAGATTAAACATCCAAGCTGTAACTTGATCATTTGCTCTCAGAGCACAACTGCTCCCTAAATAAGTCATTGTGTGATCCAAAAGCTAAATTAAGGAAACATGTACTTTTAGGGGTTAAAAAGAAAGAGCAGCATTCTGGAGTAATACTGGGAATTGGGGCCAGCAGAAGAGCATTTACAGTGGATTACTAAGCTTCCCAAATCACCAAAGAGGTAAAGTCCAGCAATATAAGACTCCTTTGTAGCTAACTAAAAATACATTGTCAGTGGATTTGTCCAGTTTTATGTATAAGCAATACTTCTTTCACCTGAACTAATACTAGTAGTCATATAAGCCCCTTATTGCCATGTGCTGCATTTTTTTTGCTAATCTTCAAGGATTTAGCTTCTTTGCCACATACCTCAGGGCACCAACTGATAAAGCTCTAACTCTCCATTTTTCCAGGACACCAGCAGTGCGGCCTTGCAAAAAATGAAAATCGCTCAAGAGATTTAAAGGGGAAATTTATTTTTAAAATCCTGACTTGCAGCAAAGAGATGGATTTAAAAAAAGCTTATCTCTCAAGAATCAGTTTAAATTTTAATTCTATCTGGGGACTCTTTCATGCATTCTGGCTTTAAAGTTTATCTTTTGACAGGAACTTTTTTGCCAGGGTAATGGGTAGCTTTGTCAATTTAATTTGGCCAAGTTTTATTACTGTTGGACTCCTTTTCCGAATACATATATAGGTGTATGTTCAGTCTATACCAAAGCTTTACCAGTTTGTATTTGTTTGTGGAGCTGTTCTAGCACTCTAAAACAAACTGGGTAGAATTGCAGAAGAATTCAGGAGAGGCTGAGGGAGCTGAGGGTGTTCAGCCTGGAGACGAGGAGGCTCAGGGGAGACCTTATCACTCTCTGCAACTCCCTGACAGGAGGTTGGAGTCAGGTGGGGGTTGGTCTCTTCTCCCAGGCAACCAGCAGCAGGACAAGAGGGCACAGACTCAAGCTGTGCCAGGGGAGGGTTAGGCTGGATATTAGGAATGGCTTTTTTATGGAGAGGGTGATGAGGCATTGCAATGTGCTGCCCAGGGAGGTGGTGGATTCACCATCCCTGGAGGTTTTCAGGATGAGACTGGATGGGGCACTTAGTGCCATGGTCTAGTGACTACAGTAGGGTTGAACTCGGTGATCCTGGAGGTCTTTTCCAACCTAGTTGATTCTATGATTTTATGAAATGCAAAACTGAACGTATGGAAAACAAGCAACTCATTTGCTCCATTTCATACACACCCATATGTAACTTGGAAAGGAATCTCTGCAGAAATTCTCAATGAAACAGTGACAGAACAGCTCAGGCATGAGGGGCAGACAGAAAAAATGGGGAATCTGTGGAAGTGTTGCTGCAGTCTAAAACCAGACATTAGATTCTCATGGACAAATGGGTCACCACCCTGTTGATCACCAACTCACCCACAGCAGACAATATTAGTTCACCAGACTCCACAGAGAAGAACCATTGGTCAGCTTAAAAAATATATCAAATATTGCTATCAGCACTTTGTTTCAAGTCCAGCAGGTAACACAACAGTGGCAAAAAAGGAGAGTGAGGAATGTCCCAAATCTGAGCTTGTACTAACAGAGTATTACACTCAAACCAGGATGTAAAGAGCATCTTGGTAAAACCAGAACTTACACAGTGTTTCCTAATGCTAAGGATGGAGATTTAGGAAATCCTGTATCCAAGGTTATCGCAAATGAAGACAATCTCTTTCTTTTCTTCTTTCTTTTCAATATGAACAATTTAATGCGTATTATAAGGTGAAGTGACAAAAAATTAGAGCAAATCCTGAATTAGGGGAGCTGCTCCTAATGGGATTTCAAATCTGATAACATGCAAATATGCTGGTTTAATTTCTTAAATATTAAATATATTCTCAAGATTAGGTGATATTGGAAAGAAGAAATTATCTTTGGCTGATGTAAATCAGTAAGAGTTACAGGAGTGGAAGGAGCTCAAACCCCTTGAAAATTAGCTCTCCCCTGCTCTCTCTCAAGTGTGAGACTCGAAACAAAAGGTGACATTTGAACATTTAGACCATCACTTGAAAATAATTTCCTTACTTCAAACAAATTGGAGCAACAAGGGGGCAGACTTGCTAAGAGAAGATTCAGCAGCTCTTCTGAGCATCTGAGATAAGTGGGGAACGTGTTTATTTGCAGGCAGTCTGCTCCTCATTTCTGTCCACCTGGGAATTTCCAGGCTTCTACAGCCTCTGACACAGCAGACTTTCAGAAATGAAATTCAAAGTTTATGTGAAAGGCATAGGGTTGTTGGTGCTACTAGTGGGACCCCCCAGAACAAAATCTGTGCATTGCCACACCACATCCCTTTGTGCTGCTGTTGAGCCTGAGCCACACCTTTTCCAGATAAAAAGGGAGTTGAGGAAAACCAGAAGGACAATCTCACATTTCATATTCACAGAATTGAAATCTCACTGCTTTGTTTTCCAAAGAGGTGGGACAATCCCTGAAACTCTTGGCAGAGATTTTCCTTGGAGCTGTTGTTTTTAAAAACCACTGAACCTGTAATCACACTTGTCAAAGCTCGGAGACAACACTCGGCAGCAAACACAGGGACCCATGTGGATTTTTCACGCAAGTGTGCCACCTCAGATCATCCAACCAGCTTACCTTTTCGTGTTTGTGCTTCTCCTTTTCTTTCTCTTTCTTTTCTCTTTCTTTCCTCTCCTTTTCCTTCTCCTTCTTCTCCTTTTCTTTGTCCTTCTCCCTTTCTTTCTTTTTCTTCTTCTCTTTTTTGTCTTTCTTCTTCTCTTTTGGTTTCTCTTTGTCCTCAAACAGTTTTTCAGGTAGCATTGGAGACAAGGAAGGTAACATGCTGGGAAGCCTCATGGCAGATGGTGTGCTGAACAAGGGCACGGACATTTCTTTGGGAGGCAACACAAGAGGTGCTGATGGCACCTTTATCTTATCTTCCTTACCCTTATCTTTGAGTTTCTCTTTGTCTTTTTTATCCTTGTCTTTTTTGCCTTTCTCTTTCTCTTTCTTTTTATCTTTATGTTTTTCTCTCTCTTTTTTGGTATTGCCATCTTTCAACTTTACTTTTGTGTCAGCATCCTCAAAGTCCTTTAGTTTGAATTTATAGGGATCATGATCATCCTCTTTGAGTAGTTCCTTCCACTGAAACTTTGCTTCCTTGTTTCCTTCCTTGTCTTTATCCTTCTCCTTGTTCTTTTCCTTCTCCTTATTTTTCTCCTTGTTCTTCTCTTTATCCTTTTCTTTTTGCTTTTCTTTCTTCTTCAGTTTTGTTTTCAGTTCCTTTTTCAATTTCTTTTTCACTTCTATCGATGAAGCTGACTTGGTTTTCTCCTCATAGACTTTGAGAAGAGGTTCTGGAGTTGGCGGTGAAGCGGAAGGAGAAGAGAAGTAAGTGAAGTTGGTAGGTGGATTAGAAGGTGTCCCCATGTTTGCCTTACGAATGACCTCATCAATTGAGTCATCCATTGTCCATGAAATGTCTGAACTTGAAGTCCCACCTGAGGCAGGTACTGGAGTTGTTCCTGCCTTATTTGCATTATTGGCAGAAACAGAAGGTTTAGGAGTTGTAGTCTCTGAAATAGAAAGTCTTTTAGGACTGGTAAAAATCTCCCCTTCTGATTCAGAACCAGAAGAAAACTCAAAGGGATCTGGTTCTCGTTCTGCGCACGCACGAGCGATCACAGCATCGATGGAATCATCAATGGTCTTGTCCATTACTGGTGCTTTCTTCACCTGGTTGTCAATATTTGGCTTGGGGGCAGGCTCAGGTGGTGTCTGTCCTTGCTTTACTTGAATGTTTTCCTTTCCTATCTTGTCACTTAAGGCAGCCAGAGGGGTTCTACTTGGTGTTTCAGGTTTGACAGGTGGCTGTGGGATGTGAGCAGGAACCTTTGGACTTTTAGGGCTTTTTGGGCTCTTGGCGCGACCTGGAGACTTTTTTTCTTTGGATCCAGGTTTTGGTGAACGTATGGGACTTCCAGTTACCACCGGTGAGGGTGTAGCTTTAGGTGATTTTGTCTTCTGTCCTGGAGAACTTGTTTTGGACTTTGTTTTGGGCACAAACGGCTTTGCCTCTAACGTTTTGGGGGTTGGCACTTGCGGTTTTGCAATGGGAGCCAACATTGGTGGCTCTGGGGAAGGAGGGGCTAAGTCTGTACTGTCCTGAACATGAACTGGAGAAAGCATTGGTGGTACTTTTTGTGTATTTATTGAGCTAAGAGGCTCACGTGGTTCCAAAGCTCCATCCAAGGTGTCCCCTTTGGAAATAGCTAGCTTAGGCCGTTTCACAGGTGGGAATTCCTCGGCATCAGGACTTTCTAATGGTCTCTTGCTCAAGTAGTTCTCATCATTAATTGCCTCATCCTCTTCCATATCTCCTTCTTCTTCCAGTGGGACTTGCATGGCCTCTGCAGATGTACCTCCATCGGTAGGCACCTGTTCCTCTTCCTCTTCTGCAACAAAGAACATTGGAAAAACCATTAGGATAATTAAAATGCGTTTTACAGAAGCAAACAAGCCTCAGTGCAAATGTTCACATGCATCTCAGCCTGTAAGAGATAACTGGCCACCTAAGAGCTTCTTATTGGTCTGCTTGGAAGGAACATGTGGCATCTCCTGCCTCACATCAGCCACAATCACAATGTAAGGTCAAACTCATGAGCAAAGGATATGAAGGCAGAGCTCAGAAACGGTGGCAGAGCTTGTGGAACAGGTCCAAAGTGTCAGTTCTACTCAGAACCATCACAATTACTCCTTCATCCATTTTTAAATGAATGGAGAGAGGGTGAGGCATTGTTCTGCTGTAACACAGAGGACTGCAAAGCATACATTGAAGTATAATTAACTGGAATTGGCTGTCTTGCCTATATATCCCACAATTTTGACTGCAGATTAACTACTAGGATAATGTCTTCTAAACCTGGCTTGTTTTTCCTGAAGCAGCAGAGTCTGAAGGTTACAGCAGAGGACTAAGCCCCATTCAACCTGCCAGGCTCTGTCTCTGATACCATCTTAAGAGCTGCTTTACAGGGACGTTATCTGTTATGACTGTATGGGAACACCCCAGCATGGTGTGTGTGTGTCTATTTGGATCAGGAACATGCCTTTGAAATGGATTTCCTCATCATTCCCCTTACTGTTGTTTTGTTTGCATCATGGAATCATCCTGGAGTGCATGTACTGCCTGCCTGCTGCACTGAAACCAAAATCAAAGAGGAACACACCTCGCATGGCCAAAGCAAGTGGCTGTTCAGGCTGTGAGACCAACAAACATCTGAAAATAAGATGAACTTGAAACCTGCACAGTGTGGACATCAGGCACCAACTGTTCCAAGCCAGTGTGGACACCACCTGTGTGATTGCTCTGGATCTTTGTTTAATAGCAATTCTTTTTTTTGCCCTACACATAACACCATCCTCAGACCTACACGTGACATTCTGGTGCAGAGAGGAGAAAATTCACTGGAGATCTCCCAGCAAATCCAAAGCAGGTTTAAGAAGAGAACCTCTGATCTCGCCAACCACAGCCAAGCACTTTATCCTCTTGGATACACTTCCCCACTTTCAAAATGGAATTATCCAAGCAGGAAAAAGGATTCTTAGTCCGGAATAAGAATGTCTACACTGGTGTTAACCCGACACATTTATATTTGCTGTAATTACATCATTACACCTATGCTGGTTAACATTCCTGCACAGACAACCTCCCTTCACTTCACCTCATGTCTCTGCTTACCCACCTGCAAAAACTCATGCCATTTGGTCTAGCAGGGTTTCTGTGCAAAGATATCAAATGCACTAAGATTCTCATATGGAATATGTAGCAAAAAAACCTTTATTAGGACAGTGGCTAAAACCCAACTTCTTAATGAGCAGGTGGTATGAGAGAAGCGAACACTGAGAAACTTGAAACACTCCACTAACACCATTTAAAGCATCTTTCTGAAATATCTCTTTTCAAGGGAGTTTATTTTCAGGTTTTCTGTGCTGGTGTTTCTCTACTGTAATGTGTCAATGCTCTGATTTAGGAGAGTTGAGTCAAGAGCCCTGGGCTGCAGCACAAATCTTGCCAGCATCACAAATTAAGTAAAATGAGCTAGCAAGTCTGGCTTTCACCAGGGCCCAGAGGATTTACAGCAGCCAGCCCAGAGAGGAGACTTTGCCTGAGGATAAAGTCTTAGCCTTCCGTGAAAAACAGCAATGCTAGGGAGTTAGGATTTGCCTGGCTGGGCACTGACATGGAATTTTTTAAACTGCAAAGTTAGAGTATAACTGAGAAATCACTGTGGACCGAGCCTGCACCTGCTATGGGGGGAAAAAAAATCTGCTTCCCCATCATGGAAGTCATTTCAGTCTCTGTTTAAGCTGCTGTAGAAATCAGCTGCTTTCACCTGCTCAGTCCTGTTTTGGGGATGAAGAATCAGCATTCATCAGATGTTGCTACCGAGCAATTCCCTCCCAAGCTCATTCCACCTAGTCCACCACTGAATTTGTTTTCATTTAAAGGTGATAAAAAACCCCACTTTAAAATCAGGATTTAGAGAAAGCTTCTGCCTTGGCTACAAGATGAAAAGTGTAGCCAAATTCAAACATTAGCAGAGATAGGGTTTGATCATGCAGACTTTAGAGATAGCAACATAAACCATTTTAATACAAGAAACACAGGGATAAAAAGAGTCAATAAAGTGGAAAAAGAAACTACTGCAACCAACAGTAAAAAAATTACATTTCCTAGAACATTTATTTGCTAAAGGTTTCTGCCTGGTGTCCATTTAAACAGCCCCTCTGTTACACCCTGTCTCACGGAAGGGCACTGCAATATTTCATATTTTTATAACTCCTTCCCATCCCAAGGTGCTTCTCATATTTTACCTACTCAGGGTCACAGAACACCAGCAGCTGCTGGATCAAAGGCGAAAAAACAATTTCAGAGGAGGTTTGGAGAACAGGGACTGGAGTTTTGTACAATAAAAAAAAGAACAGAGCGATGCTTATTTTTTTTTTAATAAGGCCAAGCAAAGTTTGCAGCAGGCCCACGAAGTTTCTGTGATCTTGTGTGGAGGTGCCAGGGAAGGGCAGGAAAGGTTAAAGTGCAGTTTGTAGAGGTGAGAGTAGAAATCGGGGTGTCTTGGCTCCAGCTTTCATGCACATTCCTGCAAGCCACAAAGACAACTTAGTAAGGAAGCAGAAGCATTACCATCCCTTTTATATGGACTTGGATTCCCCAAAACATCTGGAAAATATTGCCTGGGTCAGTCCTGAACAATCCAGGGACTAAGGAAGTTCACGAGCACTTAACTACTGACACACATTCACCACTTTTCAGACATGCTCAGATGACAATCTGGAATCCTATCGTGGTCAAATGAAATCCAAATTTCTCTTGGAACGAGGCCATGGTCTGATCCTCAGCAAGGACTGGTTTGCTGCCAGGCAGCAGCTTTCAAACCTGAGCCACCACAGCTGTGGCAGAAAACAATGAAGCACTTTTTTTTTTTGGGGGGGGGAGGTTTAATTAGAGAAAGTGAAATTTCTATCTTGGGTTCAAGACCTTGGGCTCTCTTTCCTCCTGAAGGATTCACACCAGAGCAGGAACCAAAGATGGGAAAACATCAGCTTTTAAGTGTAATCTGCCTGACTTGGCCATGAGCATTTAAAGCTGCGCAGCCACTTTCTCACCTTTGTCCATCTCATTCCCTCCCCAGCACTTCTCCCCACACAATCCTTTGTGCACAGGATTGCTTTTTAACTCTCTTTACTGCCATTTCTCCCTATCTCTGGCCACCTTATTAATGATCCAACCCGAGTTAGCATCTCTAGGTCAAATGGATATCACCTCGGCCATCTGCCCTCATAACTCTCTGCTGTAATGAAAGCAGACTGGAGCTGTTTGGGAGGTTTCTCAAGATAACAGATACATTTTTTTTTGGGGTTGTTAGAGAAGTCAGTGCTGGATCAATATTAATGCTCACATTACTAAAGCTATAGCAGCAATTGTTTATGATGTCAGCCAGCCCCATGTGCAGGGCCCAGGTTCAGACCACGCACGGGTTACAGAAGGGATGAGTTCAGCCATCGTGGGGCTGAGTTTGTCCATCACTGAAATACACATGCTGAGAGCTACTGCTTATGAGAAATTAAGACAGCATTTTTCACTTGAGAATATTAGGATGTGCCAAGGAAGTGGTGGAATCACTGTTCCTAGATGTGACACTTGCGGACATGGTTTAGTGGTGGATTTGGCAGTGTGAGGTTAATGGTTGCACTCTGTGATCTTAGAGGTCTTTTCCAACCTTAATGATTCTCCAGTTCTATAGGTAACATTGCCTGTGTCTACGTAAGAAGTTCACTTTCATGGAAGGATGATTTTGGAGTGAAGGGAGAAAGGAATCCACTCCTCTCTTGCCACGGGTTTGCAGTGTGATTTGGGGCAGGTCACACTCCATCCTGCTGCCTTCCCATCTGACAGACCATGATAATTTCCTCTCACAGAGGTGCTGTAAAAGCTGAACTTGAGAAATACGTATCTCCTCAGGATTTCTGGACAGAGAGCATTAGAATCCCAAATGCAAACCGTGGGGATCTGTCACCACTTCAAATGCTGGAAAATTTCTTAAGCTGAACAGTTCAGGCAAGAAACTGAAACTGCTGCACCTTGTTTAAGGAAAAACCACTAAAGAAGCTCAAACTCTATTTCTTGGTACATCATGTTCCTGTAGCACAGCAGGGACCCCAAAACCAAAGGGTTATTGAATATATACCTGCTTAATTTGGCCACAGCTCAGTTTCAGGACAGAAATACTCAACACTTCAGTAACGAACTTCCAAGTTCACCATCATCGAGGGACTATTTGTCCCTAAAACTGACACAAGGGTACAAAGGAACAGAAACTCTGCCTTTATGGCACAAAAAGAAGTGCAATCACCCACACATGCTCTCCTGGCTGCCTTGTTAGAGGAGGCAGCACACACTGCTCTTACAACAACAGGTCAGATGACAGCGAGGGCAGGAAAAAGAGAAGCACAACTCGTCTGACTGATGAGAAAGGCACCTATGTATGGGCATTCTTCAAGCAAGAAAACCTATGTTTTATATATATCTAAGATATATATCATCACCTTGGTCATTATTAGACTTTTTACTTGGTAGCTACAGAGAGCACCATAAGCACTTAGAGTGAGATGATGTCCTAGAGAACGTGGCACAGATGGGAACAGACAACATCTCTGCTCAGCTCTTGGCCCTGCCAAAGACTTACCCTGTCAGTTGGCTGATATTGAATTTAAGCAAAGTTCTGCTTCTTGGAAACCGGATTCCTATTTCCCTGTGTCACAGGGTGGAGATAGTATAAAACCATCTGGATAAGACATGGAGATTTAAGGAAAAACCAGTATTTTGTAGGTACAAGATGAAGCAGTGGGACACACTGGCCTCAAGCTGGACACCACTTGC